GAACGTTTGTTTCTTGAAAATTTGATCACGATTTAAATACAGTATTTATTTTTAATATTACCGATATGTCATCGAAAAGAAAACGTGTATTATCATTAAAAGACAAATTAAAGTATTTGTTTCGATTATCCGGATTTTTCCTTATCCGGACTACCTTCATCCCCAATTAGTCCGGATAATCGAGGTTCTACTGTATTTTGAAATCTGGGAATGCATTATATTTTTACTATATGAAAAAGGAAATAATAATACGTAAGTATATAGTCTGAACATTGTAAAATAAGTCAAAAATAAAATTAACTAATGACAGTATTATTACTCAAATTAATAATAAATATGAACACTTATTAATAATTTAATGTTGATTGTGCTGTTAATTATTATTTTTGATGGAAATTGATACTATTGCTGAAAGTTATATACAATTAGATTAGAAACCTTATTTTTCAAAATATGTATTAAATCCACTTAAAAGTGGATAAAAAGCATAATTTTTAAATATCTCAATAAGAGAAAACAATGTTTTATTTTGGTATAATTTGTCAATGGAATTAGAGTATGAATTTCTTGATAAACACTTAAAGGATATATAAAATGAATTATTACTATCAAAAGAAGTAAGATTAGAATTACTAATTCAAATTTATTAAAAATTAGGATTAAAAAACTAATAAAAAATTTAAGTTAAATTTTTACTTAAAAAAATCTTTAAATTTAATAATTATTTACCATTAAAAAAGAATTATCTAAATAAAATATCTTACATCTGTTCCAGCCAATAAACTATTTCGCTTAGGAAGACATGATGTATTTATGTCATCATCGCTACTAAAATCCAATTTAGATAATGACGGCAAATGAGATCTTCTCTCTCTACAAATGCTTTCTTCATCTGGTGTACGATCCATTATTTATAATAGATCTGTAAATATAATTTAGTTTTAATTGATTTACAGTTTTAAAATCTGAATATAAATATTTAAACAATTTATTTTCTAATTTTCCATAACAGGAATCAATTTAAATTTTAACAAACATTTATTTTATTTCAAATTATTCTAATATAATGTGGCTATTATGTGATGTATTTTCTTCTCATAATAAGAAAATAATTCAAATTCATTTCAAATTACAAAGTAAATGCTTTAGCTTATATTGACAAATGCAATACTTTTCCCTTTAACATAGTGATAAAACATTATTTTGATTAATTATAAAATAATTAAACACAAAATAGTACATGTTATTAACAATACTGATTTATTAATATTGTACTGACACACACAATCATATATATTTTATATTAATGTCAACTATATCATCTACTTATTACAAAGTGCCGCAAAACCAATTAACTAAGATATTAACATAATTTAAATTTTAAACTATATTAGTAATCAGTTGCTTCCTTAAAATAACAATCACAAACAGTTATTCAAAATCTGTTTTACCATTCTTACAATAGTCTTACTATAGGACTATACCTATGTTTGTTTTCATTTAAATCCAAAGACACAACAAAAATTAATATTTGAAACACAAATACATGAAATTCTGCAAAACAGATCTCTATAATAGCATATTTTAAATTAAAACAACTCTATAAATAACTAAAATTACTGAATATTTTTCAAGTTTATATATAAATTATTTCTGGTAAGTCAAAATATATTCTCAATGTCACATTGATTAAATTATTATTGGTTAAATGTTCTTGATTATGTTCAGTGTCAAGATCATGTCCATTTTCAAAAAGATAGTTCTTTATAATTACTGTATAATCTACGAGGGCTGTTCGAAAAGTTCGCGGCCTTGCCTATATGCGGTGCTGTGATCAATTTAATTTTTGGCGGGAATAATTCAGCCATCCTTGCTAAAGATACGATACCAATTTCCGCTTGATTTGTCGTAAAGTTTTGCCACGACAGCTTAGCAGATAGTCAATGTGAACATGCTTTGTCAAAAATGGAGAAGACAGACTCATGCGGTCATAAAATACCTGACGAAAAAAGGGTTGACAGTATCTCAAATCAAAGCTGACATGGATGAAGTTTTGGGAGAGTCTTCTCCTTCGTAAACCACTGTGAAAAAATGGACAGCCCTTTTTAAATCTGGCAGAGAGAGTGTGAAACATGACCCTCGCAGCGGACGGCCGTCAACTGCTGTCACTGAAAAAAATATCGACAAAGTTTACGATTTGGTGTTAGCAGATCGCCGTTTGAAAACGCGTGAGATAGCTGAGACAACAGGCATCTCTGTCGACCGAGTGCACCACATCCTAACCGAAAATTTGGGTATGACGAAGGTCTCAGCAAGTTGGGTGCCGCATCTGCTGACCGCTGAGCAAAGACGTGTTCGCACTTTGATGTCAAAGAAGTGTTTGGACTTCTACAAGAAAAACCCACGGGATTTCTTGCGTCGGTTTGTGACTACTGACGAAACGTGGATCCATTACTACACTCCTGAAACAAAAGAACAGTCGAAGCAATGGAAACACCACAGTTCGCCACCACCAAAGAAGGCAAAGACAGTTCCATCAGCGGGTAAAGTGATGGCCTCGGTTTTTTGGGATGCTAAAGGCATCATCTTTATTGACTACCTAGAAAGAGGAAAGACCATTAATGCTGTCTATTACTGTGAACTTTTGGAAAAACTGAAGAAAGAAATCGAAGAAAAGAGGCCACACTTGAAGAAGAAAAAAGTTCTGTTCCACCACGATAATGCACCTGCACATTCCGCCAGAATCACTGAACAAAAGATAAACGAACTTCGCTTCCAATTAGTTCCACATCCACCGTACTCACCTGATTTGGCCCCCAGTGACTTCCACCTTTTTCCAAACCTAAAAAAATTCTTGGCTGGAAAGAGATTCCACTCAAATGACGAAGTCATCTCTGAAGTGAACGAGTATTTTGCACACCTTGACAAATCGACCTATTGTGATGGCATAAAAAAGCTAGAACATCGCTGGAATAAGTGCATTGCTAACAAAGGAGACTACATTGAAAAATAAAAAAAGTTTTAACATTATTTTGTTTGTTGTTCTAATTGAGGCTGCAAACTTTCCAAACAGCCCTCGTATAATATTTTGGATATATTTATTCTGAAAAACTATTTTTGATAGAGGTTACAGCCAACAAGTTGAACAGTTTTTCAGAATTTGAAATTTCTTTTAAGATAATACAGTGGTACCTCAGGATACGAAATTAATCTGTTCCAAAACTGAGATCGTATCATGAAAATGTCGTAAGGTGAATCATTTTTCCCCATACGATTACATGTAAAACCAAATAATTCGTTCCAACACAAAAAACACACTCAAATTAAAGCTNTTAATTATTATAAAATGGCAAAAAACTGAAGTTTGAAGTAGGAATGAGCTTTATAAAAAAAACTATAAATGTCAATAATGAATAAAGTCATCATAAAGTCCAACCCTACTCAAAATTTGACATACAATCCCCTCTATCTCCCACCCCCTTTAACTACTGAAAATTTAATAAAATCAATTCCCAATACACAAACCTCCCGGCAAAATTTCAGAAATTTTCAACAAAAAGCACAGGAGTCATTAAGCTTCAAGGAGAGTGAACAAAATTGTGCCCTGCATACACTAACATTCATACAGAAAAAAGAAAATCCAAATTTTTTTTGTATTTCTTGATGTTTCAAGATTGAGTCCAAAACTATAAAAATCTTGGAGTGTCATTTTTTTGACTAATCATCCTACTTCCCTCTGTTATATATAACAGAGCTAGAAAAGTAAAAGTATAACAATACAACATTAGTAAATTATCTTTAATATGATAATAAAAAATGTAGAAGTTTCAAAGTAAGTATGATTGTACAGATAATAATTTACCACTAGACAGTTTATCAGTTTTCAGCTTGGCTTTTATGATACTCTAGAGAATGTTAAAATTTATTTCTAGGGTCGTCTCTTAATTTCTTGATAAACTATAAATTATTGAGTATCAGGTGAGCCATACATACCCAAAGTTAGAAAGTCAGTCAGTGAGATCTCAGTAAAGAAAAAAAAAAAAAGCTAACAACTCAACTGCAAACTATTGATTTATAGATAATAGAGTTAAAAATAACAATGAAATATTACATCATAAGTTAAATATACATATTTTAATGTTTTTATAGATTTTATAATAGATTGACTAGGGATTCCGATTCATCTAGGATTCCTTTTTTTTCATTTATCTTGAATTAAAAATGGTTTTTTAGATGTGACAGGTCACACACAAATATCAGTTTAATTAGTTTAAATTAATGAGTATGTAAATATTTACAATTTATATAAAGATCTATAATACTGCTTTTAGATATAAAAACATAGTGACTTAATTGGTATATATTATATTAATTTTCTGTAATAATAAATCCTTAAACATATATTATTCAGTTACTTGTTAAAATCAGATTTTGCAGACTAAATGGTGGCAGTTTAATAATACAAAAAGACATCTTTAATTATTTACACAAATATAATAATTAGTTTAAAGTGCTTTGATAAGTTATCTTAACTATTTTTAATGAAATAATGGCATTTAAGATAAAAGTATAAATATAGCTGCTTTAATACAAAAGGAAAGATAATCTATAAAAAGGATAGAGTCAAAATTTTGTTCTTTGTACTTTAAACTTGAACATTGAAATTATTCTAATGTAATTTGAATAATCTAATCTATATTAAGTCAATATAAAGTCAATTATTAAAGTAAACAGAAGAAATAACTCATTTAAAATAATTCTTTCAAGAAATATTTTTGCATTATTAGATCAGAAATGTGGTTTATTTTGTATTTTCTATAAAAGAAGAAAAATTTGCAGAATAATGAATTAATTAGATCAATCTCAAATAACAATATTAGGACAATGTTTTTTTGGTTTATCCTGATAATGTAAAAACATGCTAGGTAAAAAAATTTAATATAATATTTCTGTACATCTATAATTCTATGCAAACTGATTTTTATTGGTTGAATGTATGTTTCTATGGCAACTGTGTTTGAATTCAAATTTTTCAGATTTGAATTCAAACACAGTTGCCATAGAACAAATTTGGACAGATAGACAATCCCAAATGATTAATTGTCAAATTTATAATAACTTTGAAGTTTAAATCTGCTTTCATTTAAAAGGCCAGCTTAAAATTGATTGCTTATAGCTGGTTTCTAAAATAATCCTATAATTTGTAACAATACGAGTAAAAAGAAAAAAAAACACTTCATTTAATGAGACTATCCAATTTTTCTATAAAAATATTAAAACAATATATTTTATACATTAAAAAAAGTTCAATTTTCTTTTTTTTAATCAAGCAAAATGCATGAAAAACTATTTCAAGAATTAAAAATAATTCATAATGTATGTTAAAGGTATCATTATGAATGAAGTAGGTAAAAAGTGAATAGAATCAACATAAATCAGGATTCAAAACTTTGCTATTAATTACTTTTATGATTCCTTATCCTAATAATTTGAAATTATGTAAAACTAACTTAAGACAAGTTTTTATTTTTAGATGAATTTTATCATCAGATTTTGAAGTTAGAACTACATAACTATTGATTTCAGAAATGTTAAGTGCTGAAATTTGATTCTACATCTATATATTTATAACATATATATCATTAACCTTTGTAGAGAGGGTTAGTCAGATATGGCACTATCACAATGTAGTGGAGAATAAATGAGAAATTTTTTAAGAATTTTCCCACGCGTTTGTCTCATTTCCATTTCAGAAAAAATTTTTTAAACAGTTATGTCTAGTAAAGAAAAACTCTTTATTTTCACATAATTCCTTTTTATGTGAATTTTTTTTGGCTGTAAGTTTTGGCTAAATTTTTTTTGCAGATATAAATGTCATTCTCCCGTGCCACGTGATCGCCCTTGATGAGTATATCTGTCAAT